TTAAAGATTGTATTAGAAAGCATCTGATAACTGAAAGATACAAGTCACCAGATTGAGAATGTCCATCAAAGGTCCAAAACGGTGAATGAACAAAGATCACACCAAGATGTATTCCTGTGACATCTTCTCTGAAATAAACTATTTAAGGTTTCCGGGGGGCAGGGGGAAACTAGTCTAATACAAAGACTAGGCATAAGAAGGCATCATATTATATAACAGCAGCATCAAAACTAGAAGAAAGTTCACGTTCAAAGAAATCCAGATAGAATTGACAAAATCAAAACCATAGCAGGAATATCCACAAACCTCTCTCAGTTTTGACCAGATGAAGTAGACAAAAAATATTTTAAATTTGCAGATTACAGTAATATGTTTGATTTAGTAAGTAAACATCATACTTTATATATTTTATATATAGAAAGCAAACATGTATTTTTAGTTGCCATTGAATATTAAAAAGTTGATCATGTACCAGGCAATGAAGAAAATGTCAATAAATTCCAAAGAAGTTGAAATTATGTAAGTCAGATGCTTTGGCTGTCCTAGGAACATTTGTTAATAATCTTAGGAATCAAAGGGCTTGGGTATAAATAGCCATGTGAGATGGGAGACAATGCTGTGTGCCTGAATGAAGCAGGGACTCTTGAAGGCTACATTCTTAGTGAAAGACTAGAAAGCAAAATAAAATGAAAGAAACAAATGAAAAAACAAAAGTAGAAATAGGGAAGACCACAGAAAAAAAGCCGATCCACTTTGGCTTGTGCTATGAGTAAGGAAGGCAGGTCTTTCCTAGAAATTCTTAGCTACAAGCCCATCCTGATGTGAATTGGGGTATAAATGTACACTATCTTCATGCTCTAGAAATTTCTCAGCCAAAATATGGTCCTGAGCTGATAACATCTCTGAGGCAGTTGGCAAAAACAAATTCAGAATTCCTCTAGAAGAACAATTTTTCCAACCAGTTTTCCCACAGATAAATCCCCAAGAAATATGAACTCATAACTGAAAAATAAGGAATTAAGCTACCATGGGGAGGTGTTCAGTGAACCCAATAAACAGAAGGATTAAACTCCCAGTAATTACAGATAATGTAATTAAATAAATCAGATTATAAAATGTTAGAGACAGAATGCTTGTTCCTAAGTACTGCAAAGAAAAATTAGCATTCAGACAAAAAGTTTTCTCAGCAAGGCAATTTTACTTTCTGCAGAAAGCGTACTACTTGTTAGCCATCTTGCCACGAGAGTACATTGAACAAAGGAAAGGCAGGCATATTTATTCCTTACACATTGGGTCCTTATTGCTGTGTCTGATCTCCATTGGTTGGAGCTAGACTTCACAATCTAAACTGAACCCGATTAGTTAACAACTGAAAACTTTTCTAAATAGGTAAAGGCAATGGAGAACAAAGGAAAAGAGGAAGTCAAAGGGGCATAGGCTGCGAGCTGGGACATGCTTGTTAGCACATCCAGCACAGATATCTTGGTTAAAGTACAAGGACATAGAATCTACTACGTGGATAGGGCTTAACAAAGTTATTAGTAAAAAGAAGTTTTTGAAGATAGTCTTTAGAACAACTATTATTTCTGATGTTTATTATTATTATTATTCTTTAACAAGAACAAAGTACAAGGACATAGAATGTACTACATGGATAGGGCTTAACAAAGTTACACAGGATAGGGCTTAACAAAGTTATTAGCAAAAAGCAAGAAGTTGTTGAAGAAAGTAAACTATTATCTGACATTTATTACTATTATTCTTTAACAAGAAGGAAAACTTTGAAGAGGAAGTTTTTACTTTCTATATAAAATAAAAAATGTTTCAAATGAGTAAAGAAATAAAAGAATAAAACCACAAGGAAGGAACAGCATACTACTATTAAACAGGCATGACATTTTCATTGATTCTAAAACACATTTTAGCATCTCTAAAATTAGGGAGTATTTTGCAACCAATGTGATAAGAAAGCATTGTCCATAGTTTAGAAAGCATTGTTTCTTTTTTTCTTTTTTTTCTAGATGGAGTTTTACTCTTGTTACCCAGGCTGGAGTGCAATGGCCCAATCTTGGCTCACTGCAACCTCTGCCTCCTGGGTTCAAGCAATTCTCCTGCCTCAGCCTCCTGAGTAGCCTGGACTACAGGCACGCGCCACCATGCTCGGCTAATTTTTTGTATGTTTAGTAGAGACGGGGTTTCACCATGTTGACCATGATGGTCTCGATCTCTTGACCTCGTGATCCACCCACCTTGGCCTCCCAAAGTGCTGGGATTATAGGCATGAGCCACCACGCCCGGCCAGAAAGCATTGTTTCTTTCCTAGTAACATGTAAAATTATGGTATTCCTTAAATTCAGGGAGACATGGTCTTTAGACATATGTGATTTTAATCATCTCAGAGTCGGTAATCATTAAAGGAAAATGATTGGTAGATTTTGCTACATCATAATATAAAGCTCTTTTAGGTTAAAAAAGCATCAAAAGACAAACAGGGAAAAGTATTTCCAAAATATATGACAAATAAGGGGTTAATGTCCTCACACTATACAATAGGATATTAGTATGGGATGAGAATATAAACAGGAAATATGTGAATGAAGAAATAGAAATACAAGAAAGTATTCAACTTCACTAACTGGTAATAAAAGAAACAAATAATGAAAAGTTGGATCATCAACTTTGCGAAGATGAAAAAATCAATCAATATGTGAATTGTGCTGCAAAATTGTCACTCAAACACTACAATCAGATTGGAACTTGGTGTAGAATTTCTGGAGGGCAGTTTGGCAAAATATATAAAAATGATGCCACCCAACTGAATGATTTCACTTCTAGGCATTTTTCTAAAAAGATATAACCTGATTTTTAGCACATATTTACCCCTAACAAAATTCCTCACATTATGCTTGTAATGGTGAAAAATGAGAACTTACTTAAATGTCTTCTTCTAATTTATTTACATAATTATACAGGTATATGCAACTATCATATAATAAATACCAACATGTACTTAATGACACAAAACATATTTAATGACCAAAGCAAGGTCCCATCAAGATGTATATACAAGGTTTTAGTATATTTTTGAGTAAAAAACACCAAGGTACAGACCAGTATGTAGTATAGCTATCAATTACCTTAAAATATCTAGAAAAAAAGGCTTGGTGTTTACACCTGAAAATGTTAATAGTTATCCTCTCCAGGGATTGGGAATACTAGTGAATGTACTTTTTTGTGCTTTTCTGTATTTTCCAAAATAAATAATGAAACTTTTGTTTATAGGTTAAAACATTGTCTTGGGCAGGCATGGTGGCTCATGCCTGCAATCCCAACACTTTGGGAGGCTGAGGTGGGCAGATCACGAGGTCAGCAGATGGAGACCATCCTGGCCAACATGGTGAAACCCCATCTCTACTAAAAGAAAATTAACTGGGTGTAGTGGCGTGTGCCTATAATCCCAGCTACTTGGGAGGCTGAGGCAGGAGAATTGCTTGAACCAGGGAGTTGGAGGTTGCAGTGAGCCAAAATCGTGCCACTGCACTCCAACTTGACAAAAAAGTGATACTCTGTCTCAAAAAAACAAAACAAAGCATGAACTTAAAAAATAAAGAAATATAAGGGCTAAAAAGTGACCACTGGTTTTGGCAACATGGAGGTGGCTTTGCCACAGTGGGACATGTGTAAGCAGATGGTCATGGGTAGAAGAGTCATTGATAAGGAGGTGGATACTCTTTGAGATGTATCTTTAAAGGAGCTTGACTGAGAAGGGAAGGAAGGGGATGCAGTGGGTAGCTAGAGAGGTAGTTGGGTCATGGGAGAGTTGGGTTTTTTTGCCCCCCCCCCCTTTTTTTTTTTCTTTTAAGATGGAAAAGACCTGAGTAAGCATAGGCTAAGCAGAAGGAGCAGTGGAGAGGAAGAGGTCAAAGCTAGGGGAAAGAGAACTGCAAACAGATAGAGAAGAGCCTGGAGGGGAAGGGTGAGGAAAGGGCTGAGGGATCTCAAGGATCTGGGTGAGGGGGAGGTCATGAGTTTGCTGTGATCAATGGGGATGCAGGGGTTATTCCAGAAGCACTTGGCCACCTGGGCATACAGACTAAGTAGGTAGCTTGACCTAAATCAGAGTGTCAGCCTGATGGGTGATGCATGGAGGGGAGGACATCAGTGAGAACATGGTTCAGACACAGTCATGGGGTGCCAAAGCCAAGCTGAGGGGAAGTGAAGTCCAAAGAGGCCATCGGTAGAGAGAAAATGGATAGTCTTATGTCTGTATCAGTAAGTACTGACTGGGCGTGGTGGCTCACGCCTGTAATCCCAGTGCTTTGGGAGGCTGAGGCAGGTGGATCACCTGAGTTCAGAAGTTTGAGACCAGCTTGGTCAACATGGCGAAACCGTCACTACTAAAATTACAAAAAAAATTTAGCCAGGTGTGGTGGTATGTGCCTATAATCACAGCTACTTGAGAGGCTGAGGCAGGGGAATCGCTTGAACCTGTGAGGTGGTGGTTGCAGTGAGCCAAGATTGCACCACTGCACTCCAGCCTGGTGACAGAGCGAGACTCCCTCTCAAGAAAAACAAAAAGTATTGATATGGGCAAAGGCAAAAGGGCAAAGGGTAAGGGTATTGAAAGAGCTGGTTTGATCTGGTCAAAGGTTGGGCTGTTGTTATTTGGAAGTCTGGCTATGGTGTGGCGCCTGGGATGACAGAACGTAGTAGGTGCATTTTGCAGTAATCTGGATATGTCTTGGGTCCTCAAATGGTCAGCAGATGGAGAGTAGGGCTTTGACTCTTAAAGGGCTTTCCTTATACCAGTGGGCACTCTGCACTTCAAATAGACTGATTGAAAAGCAGATTCCTTCCAACAAGAAGGTCCAATCCAATAGCAAAGGCTCAGAAAGGCTGGGAAGTCAGTTCCTTCTCTGAATACCCTCCCTTCTGGGCTCCCAGCCACCTACGGCTGTCCCAGCTGGCTGTCTCCCTTTCCCAGTCTACTCAGTACTTACAGAGAAGGACCTTCCCGCCAAGTTGGAGGACTTGACGACCTCTGTCACGCTGACATTCAGACATGTGTGGTCTGTGACAGGAGCAGCAGGCAGGGGGCAATGAGGAGACCCTGAAACTGAATGAGATGGGAGTGGGAAGGGCGGCTGTAAATGGACCTCAAGGAAAGTAGAGGAGTTTCAGATTCTAGGTCTCAAGATCTCCACGAACCCATCTTGACACCCGCGGCCCTCTCACTCCTCCCTGGGCTCCCACTTCCCAGATCTGCTTGGTCCTAGCCAAATTGGACCTCCTCTCAATCATCCATCTTCCTTCCCTGAAGAATCTGCAAGTTTCTGTATCCTCAGGTCACCAGCCATCGCCAACCTAAATCCCCAACCAGTACCCTTTCATTATTTCCTCCTGCACCCCTTTTAAAAAGGAATAAAGTTCTAGAAGTTCTCTTGAACTTTCTGTAGCTCTCGGGTATGCTAAGAATATAAGAAACACCTAGCCAGGGAGGTTGTGCAGGACAGAGGCACCAAGTGGGTGAGGAAGGAATTAGTGCCAACAGGTTGAGTGTTTCTTGACTTTCTTTTTTTATTATTATAGATTTATTTATTATTTATTTTTGAGACAGAGTCTCACTCTGTCACCCGGGCTGGAGTGCAGTGGCATGGTCTCGGTCACTGCAACCTCCGCCTCCCAGGTTCAAGCGATTCTCCTGCCTCAGCCTCCTGGGTGGCTGGGATTACAGGTGCACCACCACACCGGACTAATTTTTTGTGTGTAGAGACAGGGTTGCTTAATAATGTATAATGTGTCAAAAACCATTACCTGTGTGCCTGCTGCCAGGCTTAGTCCCTCCCTGCCAACTATAGAGGGTTTGTAGAAGTCTGTGCTCTATGGAGGCTGCTGGCATCATCAGATGGGTTCTGATAGGGTCTAGACTAGGTCTACGAGTGGGGAGAGTCTGTGAGAGAAATGGAAGGAATACAATTTGAACAATAAGAGCTAACCATTATAATTTACTGTATGCACACAAATTAGCTATTTATTATCTCCATTTTAGAAATGGGGGGAAGAACAGGTGAAACGGATACAAGTCACACACCTAAGATCACACAGATAGTCAGTGACAAAGCTGGGGTGTGAGCCCTGCCCATCTGGCTTTGGACCTGCGCCCTTGACTGCCTGCTCCTGAGCCACCTCTAGGTTAAGAGCTGCTGCCACAATTACCTCTCTCCTTCATGGTGTTAAAGAGCTGTGAGTAAAGAGTGTTTTGCTGTGATGGAGTTTCATGTGTCATCCACAAATTCAGCTTGCCTGGAGGCAATTTTATTAGGAAATGATGGCCAGGTGCAGTGACTCATGCCTGTAATCACAGCACTTTGGGAGGCCGAGGTGGGCGGATCACAAGGTCAGGAGTTCAGAGACTAGTCTGACCAACATGGTGAAACTCTGTCACTACTAAAAATAGAAAAATTAGCCAGGCATAGTGGCATGCACCTGTAATCCCTGCTGCTCAGGAAGCTAAGATAGGAAAATTGCTTGAACCCGGGAGGCAGAGGTTGCAGTGAGCGAAGATCGCACCACTGCACTCTAGCCTGGGCGATGGAGCGAGACTCTGTCGCATACAAAAAAAAAAAAAAAAAAAAAAAAAGAAAGAAAGAAAGAAAGAAAAGGGAAGTGATATAATCTCTTGAGTTTCTTCTTTGTGCCAGCTGCTGAGAAAATTGTGACACTACGATGCCTACATCTCAACAGACTAGATTTAGGGGATGTTACCGGGTGATGCTTGGAGATCATTTCAGAGCAAACAAGAAAGTTCACCCAGGCAGAATTATATCTTGTTCGCCATCTATTCCCTTTGTCCATGACATATCCTGGCACGTAGTAGATACTTGATCAATATTGTGATGATGAACACAAATGCATTTTTGTCAGAAAGGCGTCATAATTGGAATGCTAGCAAAGCCACAGTGATTTCAGAGACGAAGTAAATACTTGTAGTTGCATAGGAGAGGAGGGATCAGAGTTGGCTTCCTCATAAGCATTCCAACCTGGCTTATGTGTATTTTTATTCCACATTTCTTCTGGAATATTCCAAATGTGTTCCTTTATTTTTAAAACAAATTTTTTAGTGTAAAATAGCATTTCATTTATTACACAATATTGGTCAAGTATCTACTATGTGCCAGGATATGTCATGAACAAAGGCAATAGATGGTGAACAAGATATAATTCTGCCTGGGTGAACTTTGTTGTTTGCTCTGAAATGGTCTTTTCCAAGCATCAACCGATAACATCCCCTAAGTCTAGCCTGTTGAGATTTGGCCATTCTGGGGAGCAGTGGTAAGGAACAAAGACTCTTGCATTGAGAATACCTGGGTTTGAATTTCAGTTTTGAGTCTTCCTCACAGAGGTGATGTTGGGTGAGTTATTCTCTTTCCTTCAGTTTCCTCTCTAGTAAAAAGTTGCTGAGACTAATAATATCTATCTCCTAGGGATCACATGCTTCACTGCCTGGCCCCTGGTGCATGTTTGCAATGTTAGGGACCTGTATTGCCATCCTTTGCATTATTCCAGGAGACCAGGGAGCTCATAATATGAGCTAATATTTATAATTTACTATGTGCACATAAATTGCCATTTTCTATTGTTTCCTTTTTTTTTTTTTTTGGAATGACATTTAAAGTCCAAAATTTCCAAACAGAATACAATTAGCCCTGCGGGCTCAATTCTGAGGCAGGAGAGCAACTGCAACTCCTCCCCGGAGTCCCTCCACCTTCCAGCTGTGTCTCTTCAGGCTGCTGAGGCTCATTCCAGAGGCCAGTGATAGAGTCTGGGTGACCCCATGGCAAGCAACCTGAAGGCAGTCACCAAGCCCTGGACCTAGCTCCAGTTCCATGACTGGGAGGGCTTCTCCTTCTGTCACTATGTCCTCTCCCCAGCATTGCCCTTCTCATCTCTTCTCTCTTTCTTTGCTCTACATTCCCTGTTCCTCACCTTCTGTGTCACTGGCTGGAATGGCCTTCAGGACCAGCCCAGTGGCCCGCAGGGAAACGGTGACCTCTCGGGGCCGGTGGCTGAGCAAGGCCTGGGGGAGGGGTATTGAGGAACAGGTGGGGTCTTCAGGACATACCCCCTCCCCACGCATCCCCACATCTACAGTCTTGCCTCTCTTCCCTGTTTGCCACCTCCACTGTGAGAGTCTTTTTGTTATTATTTTTGTTTTTTTGAGCTAGGGTTTCATTATGCTGCCCACCCCAGTCTTCAACTCCTGACCTGAAGGGATCCTCTCACCTGAGCCTCCCAAAGCACTGGGATTACAGGCATGAGCCACTGTGCTAGGCCCTGTTTTGTCTATGTCACTGAGGTCCCATAAGGGCTAGCAGATAAAGGCTTGTAGCACTCCTAGCCCTAGACAGTGTATTCAGCTTTCCAGATCCCAAAGAATAAATCTCTAGTGAAATCACTTCAAGCATCTGGTCAGCTAGCGAGGAAAATATTTTTTAGCAAGGGGTCAGCCCCCTTGTTCCTTAAATTAGATCACCTCCTTATCTATATGTAAGGCCAACTTAACCCCACTCATCCTTGCGAAACTCCCTGAAGGCTGGGGAACTCTGCAGCCAGCTTCAAGAAAATGGCAGAAGCCTCCTTTGGCTCTGTCTGCTCCCCTGCTTGTCCCTGAGGCCTGCTCTCTCCAGCTGTACCTCCTAGCCACCTGCTGACTATGCCCATGCACACTGACCTTCTGGTAACACAGGGAGAGCTCCGCCCCTGGGCCCTCGGCCACACCTCTCTTCTTGGGTGAAAAGCCATCTGCAGGGAGATGAGAAGAGGCTTGGGGTGGAGGTTCCCAGCCCTCTCACCCTGACTTCCCACCTCTCTGAGAACAGGAGCTGAGCTGCTGGGTTTACCCATCCATCCATCTCCCTGGATGGAAAGGCAACACCTCAGGGAGCCAAGCTGCCTTTCAGTCTTGGGGAGGCATTGGAGGGCATCAAGGGCAGCCCTAGTATTCAGCAAAAGTCGGGAACAGAGCAGGGGCAGCACTAAAGTTGCGGGGGTGCAGACATCATCAGATGAGAGGCGGGAGAATGAGAGTTTGGAGAAGATGAGTCAGGGTGACCTTTGTGACCTTTGGGAAAAGGGAAGCAGATGTTTACCTTTGGGGAATTTAGAATCTTGGATCTTCACCTTGAGCTCAATGAGGAAAATGTCCTCAGCAGGGTCTTGGCTCAGGTCACTGAAGAAGATCTGGAGAGAGGAAGGGAGGGTGATATTTCCTGGTGGGATTTCCAAATCAATCTCTCTCTCTCTCTCTCTCTCTCTCTCTCTCTCTCTTTCTCTCTCTCTCTCTCTCTCTCTCTCTCATTTCCAGGGATCTGGGACCAGGGAGAACCCTTCCACATAAAGAAGACCTACTTCTTGGATTTCAGGTCTTGAAGTTAATAATGATCTGATTCATTGAGAGATGAAGAAGATGATGTTAACAACCAAGAGTGTCTGGATATGTTCATGATTTGTGGCCTGGTGATCAGTGTTTCCCCAGAGCCTGGATATTTAATCTTTGGGGTCCTGGGGTCCAGCAGGCTGGCAAGTACCCTTGTAGTCTCCAGTGGGATGCTTACCTTGACTGTGTAGATCTGGAAATAAATGGGTTGGGTGCCCATGCGGACATAGTAGGTGAGGACATCTAGGATGAAGGGGTCCACAGTCCGGGATGTGTCCAGGGAAGGAGGCTGTGAGGGAGACAGGAAATGTCTTCACCATCACCCCCCAGGCCACTGTGGGAGATGCCATTTTCTTCAGAAAGAAACACCAAGCCCCTACATCTCTGGGATGCACTAACCCAGTGGGTCTTTTAACACATTCCAAGCCTTTCCCACCACCCAATTTCCACTCCCAATCAAAATATTCCTTTCCAGAGCCCTACCTCCTTAGGGAATCTGACTCATTTCAATTCTACAGAGACTACTGAGCACTGCTATGTGTGAGGCACTGTGCTAAGTGACTGGGGGAGCAGGATGCTGGAGAGCGAACCTAATGAGAGAGCCAGGACTGGGTTCCGAGCTTGGATGGGCTACTTGCCTTTGGGCAGGCAGCCGTGGGCAAGTTATTCAAACTCTTTGAGGCCTGAGTTTCCTTCTAGAGAAAATGAGAGGTTAGACCAGATGATCTGATGTCTCTTTCAGCTCCGGCAGTCTCTGAATCTATTAATAGGCTAATTAAGTTTTGCGTATTATTGGGAATGAACTATGCGTCTTGTTTTCCAGTCCTTCCCCAGTCCCATATGAAGATAAAGCATAGTGACTGGGTTTTCAGAATCTCTACATAGAATGTGATAATGATATCAGGGTTGGAAGAAAGCTCATAGTTGATCTCATCCAACTCATATCTGATCTTGTAAGATCTCTTTTGACTTTCACATGTGGTGTACTAAAATATGTTCCTTTCGAATGGGTCACACTGAGAAGCTATGAACTTATTCTAATAATGCTGTCATTGTTCACAATGTTTCTGGTCTCTTCATGTGGAAACCTCTTTTGGAGTAAGCATAGGGTCATTCAAATTGTTGCTTACAAGAAGAAGGGGAAAACCAGAATCTTACAGTGTCTTGGCAGAGAAAAATAGCTACCAGCAAAGGAACACCAATGGGGCCTGCATCAAATGTTCCTACTGTAATCTCCTCCAAGTTTCAAGGAAAAAGTATTTTAATACCGAGCTAAATGGTCTTTTGTGTGTATGCAGAGACATTTTTAGATCAGGTATAATCCAGAAAATATGCACCCCTATATATCGTTATTTGAATAAACCCCATCAATCAAATGATAAAGCAAAATGTAGAGGTCTTGGGTAGTACCTGCTGCTAATATAAAAGGAAGCTGTTGATTTATGCATATTTATTTTAGTTTTAAAAACTATGGTAAAAGTATAACATAAATTTACCACTTTTACATGTCTTTTAACTTACAAAGTGCATTCTGTACAAATTAGCCTTTTGATAACTTTCAAAGTGCAAGTTAATAGCAAAGACTTGAGACCAATCCAAATGCCCATCAATGATAGACTGGATAAAGAAATTGTGGCACATATGCACCATGAACTACTATGCAGCCATAAAAAAGAATGAGTTCATGCCCTTTGCAGGGACATGGACAAAGCCGGAAACCGTCATTCTCACCAACTAACACAGGAATGGAAAACCAAATATCACATGTTCTCACTCGTAAGTAGGAGTTGAACGATGAGAACACATGGACACAAGGAGGGGAACATCACATACCGGGGCCTGTCAGGGAGTGGGGGGCAAGGGGAGGGAGAGCATTAGGACAAATACCTAATGCACGCAGGGCTTAAAACCTAGGTGACTGGTTGATGGGTGCAGCAAACCACTGTGGCACATGTATACCTGGGTAACAAACCGGCACGTTCTGCACATGTGTCCCAGAACTTAAAGTAAAATTTTAAAAAATGATAAAAAGGATCACAGGAAGCTCATACAGGAAGGAGTATAGTTGCCCTACACACTTATGAAAGAATATTTTACTTAGTCTTTTCCGCAGTGATCCAGCCCAGAGTAAGCATCTGGTAGGTGTTACAAGTCAGTTCAAAGCCACTAGCTGGTTAGGGCCCCTCTCTCACATTTCCTTCTTGCCTCATCTCACTGGATTCTTGAGGTCAAGGATCAAGTGAAGCAGCGAAAAGATAGCCCACTGTCACCCCCGTCCCGCCCTCTCTGCCCACTTGGGCTCTTCCATCCTCCCTTCTGCCCAGACTCCATGCCCCTCCCTCTTTCCCTCCGTGGTACCTCACCCTTCCCTACCATCTCAGCCAGCTTGTGGATGGCGGGGCACAGTGTATTGATGGTGCTCTGGTACCATGGGTCTACGCGGCCCAGGAACGCAGCCAGCTCTCCCAGCTCTGTCTGCCTGGATGCTGCAGGCTTCTGGGAGAAAGGAGATGGGGCAGACACGTCAGGCCCTCTCTTCCAGCTCTGCCTTCCAGCTGCCATCAGCCTAGGCTATGTGAATATGGCCAAGTCATTTAATCTCTTGGGGCCTCAATTTCTGCATTTGAAGACGCATTGTTGTTCTGTCTTATAAACTCAGATGAAGCTAGAATATCTTTTGCTGAGGTCCACTCACCAGGGACATTGAAAATGATCACCAGCCTTAAACGGGGAGAGACAATGTGCAGTAGGAAGTAAGACCTACGTCCCCACAACTGGGTTAATGGACTCCACTGCCTGAAATTTCCTTGTGTCAGACCAGAAAGTGTGGTGTGTGTGTGTATGTGTGTATATGAGAGAGGGGAAAGAAGGGGAGAGAGAGAGACAGAGGGGGAGAGAGAGAAACAGAGAGAGAGAGAGAGAGAGAGAGAGAGAGAGAGTCAGTCAGTCCTGTGTTTGAAAAGTTTGCAACTAATGCTGTTACATACAAAAACAAAACAAATAGCCTGCCAACAAGAGACCCAATCTCTGGGCACATCCAGCCCCCAGAGCATCATCTGCAGCCTCCGAAATAGAAAACTGGTGACACCTCTCCCACCTCTACCTTCTTTTTTCTTTCTTTCTTTCTTTCTTTCTTTCTTTCTTTCTTTCTTTCTTTCTTTCTTTCTTTCTTTACACAGAGTTCTGCTCTTGTTGCTCAGGCTGGAGTGCAGTGGTGTGATATCGACTCACTGCAACCTCCACCTTCCGGGTTCAAGTGATTCTCCTACCTTAGCCTCCCAAGTAGCTGGGATTACAGGTGCCCACCATCACACCCAGTTAATAGAGACAGGGTTTCACCGTGTTGCCTGGCTGGCCTCTCCCGCCTCCACATTCTAAGGATGCTGATTCTAGTCCCTGAGCTTGGGATGTGGGGGATGGGAGGCTGCAGGTGTGTCTCTGCCCCGCCACTGCCTCCCCGCCGTCCAGTCACCTCAGGCGCCAGCACTGGGATGTAGTAGAGCTGCAGGCTGAGTCTGGGAGTGAGGCAGAACTTCTGGGTCTCCCGTTTCCTAGCAACGAGCAGAAAAGCAGAGGAGGTTAGGGGCGGGGCTTGGCTTCTAACAGACTTGGCTCTGCTATGTGTTATCTCTTGACCTTGGACAATCTGTGTCACCTTTCTGAGCCTCTGCTTTCTCATCTATAAAATGGGTATGGTAATGTCTCCCTCGAAGGCTAGTGAGGGTTCACGGAGCTAACGAACGTAAAGCAGTGATTGGGTGCTCTGCGATGGCTGTGCAGCACTGCACGGTATCCTTCTCCGTCCCACCCTGGCCTCTGCCTCCTGACCCTCTTTTGCCACCCTGTGATCCCTCACCAGCCCATGCAAGGCCCACCTGTGCCCTGACAAGCCCCCACTCCCCGACCCCCACCTCGGGGTCCCACCTGAGTCTGTGGTAGGCCTGGGCCAGGCGCCCGAGCATTCTGTCGTCTCCCAGCACAAGTACCCGGGCTGTGTGCAGCCGAGAGACGCCGGGAAGCACTTCCCCATCCCCACCGGGCCTGCCTGTCCTCCGGTGCAGCCCTGGGGGCCCGTCCCAGCTGCCAGGCATCAAGAAGTCCAGGGGCCACACACGCTTCTTAATGCCTCCTTTGCGCTGCAGCCCAGCTCGCTCCATGTCGGGGCTGCTGGGTGCAGGTAGCTCATCAGCTCCCAGGGGAAGGTCCCGCTCGATGCCACTGTCAGTGGACAGCACGGACACCCGGGCCAATTCCCGGTCTGGCCGGAGGCCTTGCAGATCCAAGACCTCCAAGTCAGTACTGAGGCGCGGCTGGGATCTTGGGCGGAGGAAGAGCACCAGTTCCTTCCCTGGGATGGGGGAACAAGGGTGGTGAGGACATGTGAGGCTGGCAGGCTACATTCCTGATTTCAGCCAGTTCTCCTCAGAGGCTACACATACACAGACACATGAGGACACACATCCACATTTACACACAGACACACAGATGCATACACACATCTACAGACACAGACACACATGCACACATAGACACGCACACACATGCACACAGACATACAGATGCATACACACATCTATAGACACAGACACACATTCACACACACGCAGACACATGAACACAGACACGCATAATACACATCACACACAGATGCATACACACATCTACAGACACACATGTACACACAGAGACACACACACACACACATGCATGAATACATACACATGGACACAGACATATACCACTGTGGAGCACGTACAGAGCTGCTCCTTGCCGGTCCACAGGTGGAAGGTAATGGAGGGGCTGGGCAGGGGAATGCTTGGTGGCCGCTCTTGGACAGGGTCACCTGCAGAAAGGAGCAGGCTGTGGAGGCCATGGAGGAGAGGGATGTGGGAGCCTCCTCTGCCCTCCCTACCCTGCCCAGCTCCTGTGCAGGGTCTTAGAAGGGTGGCAGGGACTCTCTCCTTCACATCTGGCCTGGCTTTCCATTTCTGCCACCACCTGCCTATCCAGGGCCCAACAGTGCAGCTGTCCTCTCCCTGTCCAACAATGCTTAGCAGCTATGTTTCCTACAAACCTAGCTCGGCCCTTAGGAGTCTTCAGAAACCAGCTCACAAGGCCTTTTCCAACCTGTTCTCCTATGCTGGCCACGCCTTCAGCCCTGTGCAACCACCAGACTGGCTTTTTCTTTTTTTTCTTCTTTTTTGAGATGGAGTCTTGCTCTGTCTCCCAGGCTGGAGTGCAATGGTGCAATCTCGACTCACTGCAACCTCCGCCTCCCAGGCTTGAGCAATTCTCCTGAACCTGGAGGGCAGAGGTTTCAGCCTCTGGAATCGCTGGGATTACAGGCACCTGCTACCAAACCCAGCTAATTTTTGTATTTTTTAGTAGAGACCGGTTTTCGCCACGTAGGCCAGGCTGGTCTCAAACTCCTCACCTGAGGTGATCCACTTGCCTCAGCCTCCCGAAGTGCTGGGATTACAGGTGTAAGCCACCACGACCAGCCTCCCGCTGTTCTTAAAATGCCCTGCCTGCATCCAGACGAGGCAGAAAAGACTTCAGCCCTTCTCAGGGCTGCTTCCAATATCTTGTATGCAGTAGACACTCAACTAACATTTGCTGCTGTCAGTGATGCTAAAGAGACCTCATCAGCAAAGTCTGGGGGCAGCAAGAACCCTGGGTAGTCCAGGAGAGACCGAGGCCAGCCTGTCTTCCTGCTCCTCTTTCTAGAATCTTTTCTGACCACTCCAGAGGCCCACGGTGGTCATTCCCTCCAAGCAGACTTTGTCTTCACACTGGACCTCACATGTGGTCTTAGGATTTGGCTCTGTATTCCGATTTCAATTCTATGTTGCTGTGGCTCCTCCTTCATGAGGCTGCAAGCTCCTTAGGGGAGAGCAGCTAGAGTTCATTGAGCACCTACTACTGCCTGCCAGGCCTTGTTCTACTCACCTGGCACACACTGTAATCATTTCTCTGGATCCTGCCAATGGCCGTGGGTGACAGGTGACATTTTTCTCCTCAGTTTACAGGGGAGGAGCCAGGACATGAAGAGGTTGAAAACTGGCCCAAGGTCACATAGTAAACAGCAGAGTGAAGATTTGAGCCCAGGCAGCTCAGCTCCAGAGTCTCTGCTCTTACCCACAACACTGTGCTTATAACCACTGCTCCATACTGCCCCCTACAGCAATGGGCTTGATGGGGGTGCTGCCTGGTCATTAAGATGCACAGGGCTTAGCCAGGTGTGGTGGCGCGTGCCTGTGGTCCCAGCTATTCAGAAGGCTGAGGTGGGAGGATTGCTTGAGCCTAGGAGGTCAAGGCTGCAGTGAGCCATTATGGAGCCACTGCACTCCAGCCTGGATGACAGAGTGAGACCCCATCTCAAAACAAAACAAAACAAATGCACAGGGCAGGTCTGGGCAGGAGACAGGTGTCCCTGAATGTGGCTTGGGGGCGGCCCACATGGTCTTGCCTGATCCAGGCAATCACTGGTGAATGTCAGCAAGGGGCCATAGAGGAGCAAAGGCAGATTGGCCCCAGAGTTTGTCCCAGCTTCTAGAGGAGGGGGAGCAGTCTTTTCCATGTAGGATCAGAAGCAGTGCAGAACGTTAAAGCAAAAGAGGGAAAACTGCGAAGATAGAGTCTTTAGGCAGTTTTTATCCTGCCCACCTCACCCAACTTCTGTGGCCTCCACCCAACCTGGGCTGCCAAATTCAAACCCAGGGCCTGGCCCACTAACCCCTTCCAGTGGATTCCAGTCCTTAACCCCATGCCTTATGCAGTGGCATGATCATGGCTCACTGCAGTCTTGACCTCTTGGGCACAACTACAGGTGCACAATCAGTGACCGTGCATATCTGGGACACGCAGGCTGACACATTCCGTTATATTTTGGATGACCATGAAACAGGACCCAAATCAGAACCACCCTACAACAGCCAGGAAACACATATTTGGGACGTTTCTCAAGTCTATTTCAGATGCCCCCATCTACATGGGGCTTGTGCCAGGATAGGCATTATATTACCTACATAACACCTTGCATAAGATAAGGCGATATCTTATAAATGTGCAAATAGGAAGTATGAGGAATAAAAATCTATGATACCAGATATAAACAATGTTGACTCCTCTGCTCTTTTAGATGCTCTCGTCTTTGTATGATCAACTCTTTTGATTACTACAGCAGAGTGGTGAACTAGACAGCCTGGCTTTGCCACTTACTGCCTTGGGTGATCTTGGGTAAAATATTTAACCACTTTCTAACTCAGTTTCATCTGCTGTAAAGTGGGGATAATAATCATTTCTATCTCATAAGTTGCCTTTGAGGTTTCATTGATTTAATACAGTATAGGCCAGGCATCCCCAAACTTTTTACACAGGGGGCCAGTTCACTGTCCCTCAGACCTTTGGAAGGCCGCCACATACTGTGCTCCTCTCACTGACCACCAATGAAAGAGGTGCCCCTTCCTGAAGTGCGGGGGCGGGGGGCCGGATAAACGGCCTCAGGGGGCCGCATGCGGCCCACAGGCCGTAGTTTGTGGACACCCGATATAGGCAGTATATTTAAATATATGTAAACTGATTAGAACAGCAGCTGGGGTATATATAGTAGGCGATCTGGGGGTGTCAGCTGTTATCATGACTAAATTACCTGCCCTTTTTTTTTTTTTTTTTTTTTTTTTGAGACAGAGTCTCGCTCTGTCACCCAGGCTAGAGTGCAGAGGTGCTATTTTGGCTCACTGCAACCTCTGCCTCCTGGGTTCAAGTGATGCTCCTGCCTCAGCCTCCCAAGTAGCTGGGATTACAGGCGCCCACCACCACTTCCGGCTGATTTTTTTTTTTTTCATTTTTAGTAGAGACGGGGTTTCACCATGTCGGTTAGGCTGGTCTTGAACTCCTGACCTCAGGTGATCCGCCTGCCTCGCCCTCCCAAAGTGTTGGAATTACCAGCGTGAGCCACTGCGCCCGGCCTAATTACCTGCCTTCTTAGTCCTGGTCCTGCCAAATCTCTGGGCTATCCCCAGTCCTCAGGCTCTTAGGAGTTGGCCAGGCAGGCGGACAGAGGCAGGTCCAGCGCTGCTCTCTGGCGCCCCCTTCGGTGCAATGACCTACCCCTGCGGGGCCTTTGGCAGGGTCCCCCATCGTTCCATGGCTTACCGCAGCAGTGCCCCGCCGCTGGCCCCAGCAGCGAGCAGTAAATCTCCTCCAGCCTCTCCACGTGTCCCGCCCGGCTCGGGCTGGCCTCGCTGGCCATCTGCTCCACGGCAGCCACCACGGCGTGGAAATAGTGCTCCAGGGTGCGGAGGGAGCTGGCCTGTGGGGGAGGGGCATCAGAGCCTGGGCCTTGACCCAGCGCCTATGCACCCCACCTCCTAAACCAAGTCCAAAGGGCTCTGGTAGCCCAAGGTGACACCTCCCCGCTTTCCCTGGGGGACTGGCAGGACCCTTTTTCCAAAGGCTTCTGGATCTCACATCCAGAGCCCCATGCCTGCCCTGCACGTGGTGGGGGAGGGGGGTCCCCTCTGCCTCATACCCTATTATGGGGAGAATACAGGTCTGCAACATCTGTTACCCAGACGGGCAGAGGTGGCCGCTGATGCCCACCGCCTGAAAGTGTCACCCAGCACTTGGATCACCACTAGACTGAACTTCAGGAAGGCAGGGAGTTTTGTCTTTTTGTCTGTTTTGTTCACAGCTGCATCTCCACCACTTAGTACAGCTCACTGCACCAGGCTTGTTCTAGGAGCTGGGATACAGCAGCAAACAAAATGGACGAAAATTTGGGGGCCAGGCACGGTCTCATGCCTGTAATCCCAGCACTTTGGGAGGCCAAGGAGGGTAGATCACCTGAGGTCAGGAGTTCAAGACCAGCCTGACCAACATGGTGAATCCCTGTCTCTGCTAAAAATACAAAAATTAGCCGGGTGTGGTGGGGTGTGCCTGTAATCCCAGTTACTCAGGAGGCTGAGGCAGGAGAATCCCTTGAACCCAGGAAGTGGAGGATGCAGTGAGCTGAGATCACTCCATTGCACTCCAGCCTGGGCGAGAGAGAGAGAGACTCCATCTCAAGGGAAAAAAAAAATGGGAGCTCCTATTATAGTATGTATATGGCAGAAGGAGCAGGCAATCAACAAGATAAGTAAAATTTATGGTATAATAAATAACAATAAGAACCAAAGACAAAGCAGAGAAGGAGGATGTGGAATTTGAGGGAGGGGCTAAATTGTTTAGATTTTGTCATCTGGGAAGCCTCCCTAAGAAAGTGACTTTTAAGCAAAGACTTAAGGGAAGCAAAAGAGTGAGCCATGTAGGTATCCAAGAGAACATTCCAAGCACAGGGAGCAGCATGCACAAAGGTCCTGGGTGCAAGTGTGTCAGGCCTGCGCATGTTGGGAGAAAAATGAGGAGGCTTGTATAGCTGGAGCAGAGGAAATGAAAGGGAAAGTTAGGAGACAGGCCAGAGAGAAAATGAAGAGAGGTGGGGACAGGTCAAGGCCCTCAAGGTGAGGTTCTTGGAGACGGTTTATTTTGGTTTTTAGAGATGGGGTGTCTCTCTGTTGCCCAGGCTAGAGCGCAGTGGTACAATCAAAGCTCACTGCAGCCTTGAACTTGGCTCAAGTGATCCTCTTGCCTTCTGAGTAGCTGGGACTGCAAACACATGTCACTACACTTGGCTTTTTAAAAATTATTATCATGTGTAGAAATGGGGTTTTGCTATGTTGTCCAGGCTGGTCTCAAACTCCTGGCCTCAAGCAGTTCTCCTACCTTGCCCTCTCAAGTACCTGGGATTATAGGCATGAGCTACCTCACCAGGCTCGTATAGGTCATTGCAGTGACTTTGGCTTTGACTCTGAGTGAGATGATGTAGTAGCCACTGTTGTGGTGACAGATTCCTGCTTTTGGGACTGAGACACTCATTCGCCCTGCTGCTAGGAATACTGACATTGCCTTATATCTTCTTCTTATTATTATTGTTATTTTGAAACGTAGTCTTGTTCTGTCGCTCAGGCTGGAGTGCAGTGGCACGATCTTGGCTCACTGCAACCTCTACCTCCAGGGTTCAAAAGATTCTCCTGTGTCAGCCTCCTGAGTAGCTGGGATTACAGGCATGTGCCACCACACCCAGCTAATTTTTGTGTTTTTAGTAGAGACAGGGTTTCACCATATTAGTCAGGCTGGTCTCGAACTCCTGACTTCAGGTGATACACCCAACTCAGCCTCCCAAAATGCTGGGATTACAGCTGTGAGCCACCATGCCCAGCCAAAATTATTAATTTTTGATTTGGGGAAAAAGGTGATGTGAAACAGGAGAAGGAGGAAGAGTGGGTGAGTGACTGGTATGGGTATGCAGGGACCAGGGCTGGACCCTGGTTACAGGCAGGGCCATTACCTGCAGCTTCCTGTGCAGAGCGCCTGCATGGCAGGCCTCCCCCAGAGCCGCCTGTAGGGCATGGGAGACCACGTGGCGCATGCAGGCCTCCGGTGTCTGTTGCACCTGGGCTGCCTCGATCTCCAGTAGCAGAGCGCTGCATACAGAGGCAGACACCAGCTCAGGATCCACGAAGAGGAACACTCTGAGGGCAGAGGCAGAGGGGAGGGGTGGGATTGACAGTAACTAATGGGAGAGGGGCCACCAGATGGGCACACTCAGAGCTGTGCAGCACCTCCAAGTAATTTAATTCTGCTAAAAAGAGGAGTCTTCAATTCAGAAGTTTCTAGGGGGGATGACAATAGGGAGTGGTGAGGACTGTGGCAAATAAGAGCGTGCACAGCCCTTCTTGAGGGGGGCAGCTCTAATCTGCTGTCCACAGAGGAAAGCAGGCCTAGTCCCATGTCTAGGAAAGTTCTAGCCTCAATTCTGCTCCTTCTCTCAGCATCCTGGCCCAGTGACCAGGTCACCTTTTAGGAGGGACCCTAAATCCTTCCTGCCAGAACTGGAGCTCTGAACCCTGAGGGAATCCCACCTTCTCTCATCACCCTTATCATACCAGAGAACTGACCTCCCCTTCTCCCTCCTCCTCTCCCACCACGTCTCCCCACCTCTCCCATGCTAAGTCCTCTGGGTGCCCTGGGCCTCCATGCATCCTTCATGAATACAGCACTTCACACCCCAAGCTCAAGCTGTGCCTTTCAGAGCCAAGTTAGTGGAGGTGCCTGCAGAAAAGGTAGGTGCCACTCCCAATTTCATCACCCCTCTCCCCAACAGGAGCAGGGGACACTTCCTCAGTCTTATCTAAGGGGCTGGGTGGCCAGAAGGCCACGTCCATGTTCTGCATGTGAGCAGGGTAGCTTCGAATCCAACCTGAGAAGAAAGACCTATCATGCTGTCAGTGGTGTGCAGAAAACAATATGGCGTGCCAACCTTGAATTGCAAATGCACTCCACTGCTGGACGAATATCATGGCTGGGGAGGTCTGCTAGGCTCTGCTTAATCCAGCCTCCTCTTTTGTCCTCCTGCCAGGGAGGAGTCACTAAAGCCTTGGAACTTTTAGGAGGCTGAAGATAGCAGTTTTTCTGGGGCCACTCACCTCTCTTGGTACGGATATGGTTCATTCATCAAGTTCTGTTCGGCGATGACCATCCTTTGGTACAGTGTCCCTGCAAACCAGACCACTTTGGTCAACCAGCCCCCAAGTCTCTGGTTCCCATTCTCCACCTTCTTACAGAAGGTGTGGAGGCTTTTGAGCTCCCTGGTATCCTGGAGAAAAAGGTAAGACCTTGGGCGGTGTTGGAGGTGTAGCGTGGGAGACAAAGATGCCCAGTGGCTCTTACCTGGGACGGCTGTCTCCGTTTTCAACCTTGTCGCACAGTCCAAGGCGACTGTGCAGTAGGGGGTAGGCAGGGTCAGCAATCTTGTGCAAAAGGCATAGGTTCTCTGGTAGAGCTCCTCTGTGATTCCTGTGGCCTGAATGAGAGCGGGGAGGGAGGGAGAGGTGAAGGGTCCTGTGAGAGTTTCTAGGGAGGGGCTTGGGAGAAGGGGTAGAAGGTCAGACCTGACAGCCAGACCTGGGCTCACAGCTCTCTGCCAAACCCACACCTTCCAGCCTCTTCCCCAGTACCTGTAAGACATCCCTTTGTCTCCCTGCTCCAACTTACCAAGATAAAAATTCATTGCAACAAGTTCTACAAGCAAATCAACTCCATCCACCCACCCCTGCCGTCCTTCTGCTTCATCAGAGAAGCACATTACTGCAGTCCTCCAGGCTCAAAACCTTGGAGGCACTTCTTCAGCCTCCTTTGCTCATTCGTACATCTCACAAGCCTGAGATGCTTCGCAGTACCCCAGAGCCCACCCTCCCCACCTCAGTGTGCCCTCTGCCTCTGCCGGAGCCAAGCCACATCTTGACTGTGGACTCTCCAGCAACCCCAAACTTGCCCTTCCTGCCTTCCTTCACCACCACTCCCACCCCTGCAACAATACCCATCTCCCAGTGACTCTTCCCAAGACAGTAACCACGTCTGTATCCTGCCTCTTATCTGTGTAGGGATCAGTGATGTCTCCTGTTGCATTGCACACATGAGCAAACCCAAAGACCTCATCCTGCCATTCAAGGCCACTGTCTCTCCAAAGTTCTCTCTCCATATAGGAGGGAAAGGGGGTGGCTAGTGCTTAGAAGCCAGTTTAGGGCAGGCAGTCCAAGGGATTTTCTAGGCTCATCCTAGCAGAGACTGACTGCCCTCTAAGGAGAAAGGACGGTGTCCGGCTCAGCCACAGGCAGGTCACCACTACCACCTTGACCTCAGCCCCCAGCTCACCTTGGTAAGCACGTACATTACAGTGTGCAGCAAGGGAATGATGACATGTCGGAGGTCCTCGCTTTCCGCCTGGAAAACAGGAGATCACATGACAGGTATTGGGCTGAGGGACTCCCCACTCTTAGCAGGAGGTAGTCTAGACTGGGGGTGGGCAGGAGATGGGGTGGAAGGTAGCCAGGAAGAGAGCAAAGGGCCATTGTCTGCTCTGGGTAGAGAGCAGGAAGGGGAAGGCACACAGGTGTGGGAGCATGAGGGGCCTCAGAGATCTCTGCAGGGGAGGGGCCAAATTCCATCAGGGAAGAAGACGCAGCAAAGCAACAAACAAGCCCCAGCTTGGAGCGCAGTGTTTCCCAAACAGTTGCAAGCAGAACATTGGGTAGTGTGGAGGATAATTTATGTGGTCCGAGGATAATTTTGAGAAATGTCAGTAGTCATTTATTTATGTTTATAGGTACCTTCTGTTTCTGACAGGTGATACAGGTTTTCCATTTGTGGTTGTGTTACGGCGCTTCTTTTTGAAAGATGTTTATTCAAGTAAAACAGTGGGAATCGATGTAAAGAAAATATTGCTTATGTAAAAGTACAGGAGGGAGACGCGTTTGGTAAAAATCAGGCAGGCGACCAAAGCTTAGGAGACACAGAGCCGCCAGGACTGAGTCCCTGCCCAACTGGCCCCTCTCTTCCTTTCGTCTCCGTTTTCCTCCCTGAGGTCCAGGAACTCACCTTCTCCAGTTCTCTGAGCAGAATGCGGACCAGCGCCGGGCTCTTACTAGGATCTCGCTCGACCTTCCTGTGCAGGGACCACCTCCACATGCCTGGGCCGGGAGAAAGGGGAGCCCAGCATGGCCAGGTGGGCAGGGGGCTCTTAGAGGAGACCCCTCTGAGTAGGACCCTGAGCCCTGGAGCCCCAGCTGCAGCTCTGACCAGCCGCAGGTCTGACTCCGCCACCAGTGCTTGATCCAGGTGCGCCTGCATGGGCTCCTTCCGTGGGGTGGAGTTCTGATCTGCAGCCCTTGTTGGACAGTGAGCTCCCAGGGAAGAAATGAGGGCAGGTGGGATGCAAGTGGGGACAGGTGTGTGTCATGTGGCACAGAGCAGCAGTGCTTGCAGGTGTGTCCCCAGCCACATTCTGGAAATCCTGCAGGCCTGGAGTGCCGAGGGGAATTAGGTTTGGAAGTGGACCTAGGGAAGGTGGGTTAAGAAAGAGGGTGGCAGGTGGGGCACAGTGGCTCACGCCTGTAATCCCAGCACTTTGGGAGGCAGAGGCAGGTAGATCACTTGAAGTCAGGAGTTCAAGATCAGCCTGGCAAACATGGTGAAGCACAGTCTCTACTAAAAATACAAAAATTAGCCGGGCATGGTGGCGCATGTCTGTGATCCCAGCTACTCAGGAGGCCGAGGCAGGAGAATAACTTGGACCCGGGAGGCAGAGTTTGCAGGGAGCTAAGTCTGCGCCACTACACTCCAGCCTGGGTGACAGAATGAGACTCCATCCCCAAAACAAACAAACAAAAAAGGGTGAAAGAGGGTGGCAGATCCCCTGTGCTCTGTGGCAGTTGCCGGGAGGGCTGAACTAGGGAGCAAAGAAGTCTTCTCAGTCCTTTAGGCTCTAGGTATTTCCAGCAGGAAAGAGGTTTTGCTAGAAGACCCTCGCCTCATGAGCTCCAGGCCGGGGCCCTTTCCTGGTTGTGTATGTGGAGCTGGCTGGGGTAGGGTGGAGGTCAGGGGGAGCACCTGCTGCTGCTAGCTGGCTCTTACCTTGGTTGCTCTGCAGGGCAGGGGTCTGGGTGCTTAGCTCACGGAGCACAGCCTGCACACTCCTCTGGAGGTCCAGCTCCACATCTGGGCAGTGGCAGGGGTGGGAGGAAACTCAAACCACTGAGCCTCACCCTCGTCCCACCTCCATTCTTCCTGAGAATGTCTTTAGCCACTTCTCTGAGCCTCAAGAGGTGCCCGAAATAATCGACTTAGAGTTTGCAGCCACGTTTCTGTGTTCTTTGTAAAACCAGCATTTCTCCAAGTGCAGTATGTGTACCATTGGTGCTGTGCAGGACAATTTTAGGTGGTATACAGACACCTTAGAATCTGAAGAGTTATGGATTTATTTTAATGCATGTTAGAAAATACATACATATATATATAAACTACTAGGTTCGTGCAAAGGTCATTGCAGTATTTTTGTCATTATTTTTAATAGTTCCTCAATCCATGCATGAAGCTAAAACTTATTTATTTTATTTATTTATTTTCTGAATCCTACAGAACCCTGTCTTTTCTGGTAGTCTCCCACTCAAGTGTAAAGCTAAAATCTTAAAGTCCACTTAAAGAAATGTGTCAGTTACATACCAGGACAAGTGGTAACAAAGACTCTCTCCTTGACCAGACATTCCTCAGGCTCGTCTTAGCCCTCTTCTTGATTAGGCCTCAACCTTGGCTCCTGTCCTGTCTTTGGCCTGCCCATCCCAGTTTTAGCAAGAATCCTGCCAGATGAGTTTAGGTTGGAATCCGTCACCGTTGATATCTGCTGAAGCCCTTCATCCCTCACCTTTGATATAAAAGAATTTGACCCACATCAGCCTGGCATGGTGGCTCACGCCTGTAATCCCAGCACTTTGGGAGGCCGAGGTGGGCGGATCACAAGGTCAAGAGATGGAGACCATCCTGGCCAACATGGTGAAACCCCATCTCTACTAAAAATACAAAAGTTAACTGGATGTGGTGGCATACACCTGTAGTCCCAGTTTCTTGGGAGACTGAGGCAGGAGAATCACTTGAACCTGGGAGGTGGAGGTGGCAGTGAGCCGAGATCAAGCCACAGCATTCCGGCCTGGCAACAGAACGAGACTCCATCTCAAAAACAAAACAAAACAAAACAAAACAAACAAAAAAAGAATTTGACCCTCCTCTAGCAAGAATCCTGTTAGCTCAGTTTAGCAAGAATACCCTTACCCTTGATGTCTCCTCATAGGAATTTTCCATCCACGATCCCCTCACTCTGCCCATGGGCTACAACTCCCCAACTGGCTTTTCCTTATTCCAAGTTGAGCCTACTCTCTCTTTCCTATGGCAATAGTCTTGGATAAGTCTTCCTTACCATTTTAATAAGTGTCAGAATAAATTTTTTCTTTACCATGGAAAAAACAAACAAACAAACAAACAAACCAGAAAAGTGGTACAAGAATAAGCACCTGACATTTGGGAATTGTGGTAGCTGTGAGAATGTACCTTGCTGATCTCTCACTATAATGGACCCTGGTCTGCAGCCACTGTGCTGTTGCAGTGGTTTGGATATTTGATCCTCCAAATTTCATGTTGAAATTTGGTCCCCAATGTTGGAGGTGGGGCCTAATGGGAAGTGTTTGGGTTATGGAGGTGAATGCCTCATGAATGCCATCCTCGCAGTAGTAAATTCTTGTTCTATTCGTTCCCCTGAGAACTGGTTGTTAAAAAGAGCCTGGCACCTTCCCCCTCCTCTTGCTTCCTCTCTCAGCATGTGATCTGCCCACGCTCGCTCCCCTTCCACCAGGAGTGGAAGCTTCCTGAGCCCCTTATCAGAAGCAGATGCTGGAACCCTGCTTCTTGTGCAGAACAGCAAGCCAAATAAACCTCTTTTCTTTCTAAATTACCCAGCTGCAGGTTTTTTTTTTTTTTTTTTCTTCTGAGACAGAGTCTCATTTTATCACCCAGGCTGGAGTGTAATGGCATGGTCTCTGCTCACTGCAACCTCTGCCTCTGGGTTCAAATGATTCTCCTGCCTCAGCCTCCAAAGTAGCTGGGACTACAGGCGCCTGCTGCCACGCCTGGCTAATTTTTTTTGTATTTTTAGTAGAGGTGGGGTTTCACTATGTTGACCAGGCTGGTCTCAAACTCCTGACCTCGTGATCTGCCTGCCTCAGCCCCTCAAAGTGCTGGGATTACAGGTGTGAGCCACTGTACCTGGCAGGTATGCTTTTATATTATAACAATGCAAACAGACTAAGACAGCTGTGAAATCCATGACTTTCTGCTGAGCCACACTTCCCAGCCAATACAGAGTACAGCAGGGGTTCTAAAGCAGGCCCCACCCCAAGAGACACTCAAGCTTCTCCAATTGCCCTGCTGAGCTCTTCTTGGACTCCCATCAGTCCAAGGCATTTCCACTGACCTTCTTCCTTTTCTCCTTCATTTGGAGTCAAATTTGCACCAGGGTCTGACAGCTGCTCCCCCAGATCCCTCTCCATTTCTATCACACAAGTGTTTGCCCAAATAAATCCTTGAACTTGGTGTCTGTTTCTTGGCAGAACTGGACTCAGATAGGAAGTATGGAAAACACTCCTCACACAATAAATTCCTTTTTGCAACTAGCTCCCACTAAGAATTTGCCATTATAGGTGAGTGTGGATTCTCTAGTTGTCAGACAACACAAACCGTTTGCTGCAAGGGTTCCTCTTTGACTTGGCTATCAGAAAACTTACAGTCAGATTTGGGGCCCAGCCTCAAAAATTAGCTCCTCTCAAGTGACAGAGATCTCTCTTTGGGGCTCGTTTTTGGTGCTCCTGCTTCCTGTTCTATTTAATCTATATCTGAATTGCCTCAGATTCCTTTGGAAGTAAGTAGAATGGTGATAACAAATTTAAAAATCAGCAGATTGCAGTCCAAGAGCTAACACTTTTTTAGGCCAAGCCACCATATGTGTTGGTGCTCATGATCTGGCCCTTCCTCAGACCCATGCAAAGCCCATGGGGACCACATCCCTGAAGGCCCCACTTTCTTCCTGGCTCTCACATGTCCCCTGTGGGACACTTGTCCCTGGCAAGGCCTGATCCTGAATCTTCTCCAGGCTGAGAGTGGACAGGGTGTTACAGGTGCATCTAAGCATCTGATCCCTCTGCTCGGCAGAGCAGCATCTCCCCAAACTGTCAAGGAAATCATTTAGCTTGGCAAGAAGGTTGGTCAGTCTTTCCTCCATCTATGCATTTCCACCTTGAAGACTTAATGAGTTAATGCAGAATGAGTTATTAGAAAATTAGCTGGTGCTAAGTCTTCTTTCTTTTTCCTCCCTCCCTCCCTCCCTTCCTTTCTTTTTCCTTCCTTCCTTCTCTTTCTTTTCTCTCTTCGCCGTATACTGCACAGAAAGACTGAAAACTGTGACAAATGTGATTTCCTCCCCTTCCCCTCACCAGAAGCGCAGCCAAGCCTTTGTCTTCTGAGCCCCAGGTCCCCTTGCTTTGCAAGGGAAGTTAGGTTTTTATGTTTCACAGAAAAGTGGAGAGGTTGCCAGTAGCCCCGGGAGGCCACTTCAAATAAATTTTGTTTTTGAATGTCTGGGTAGCTAGAACAAACTCTCAGGCTTGGGTCCACATCTGGCTTGCTGTGTGTTTTGTTTGGGCTTGTATCATGTGTCTTAAAAATAAAAAACAATGAATTAGCTGCCAACATTGACAAGTCAGGAGATTTTGCATAACAGTTTGGGTTTCTGGCATCTCTTGAAAATCTGGCAATCTGTTCTCTTGAACACTGGGCCCGCATTCTTCTCACATGTGACAACCATAGTGGGTGGAATCACACAGCTTCTCTAGGTCTTTGCAGTTCCCCATGCCTTGGTTTCAGTCATTTACATCCTTTGCCTGGCCCCTGGAGGCACTTGAATTTGAGGTTCATGGTAAGCTGATTGAGCCAATCAAGATGGATTGTCTAAAAGGTGCAGAGGAAGGCTGATACTTTTAAAGAGGAGAGTGGTCCAGCCCAAGGGTGGAGGCTGGATTCCAGCCTAAGACTGTGAGGGCACAAGGGATATATAGGGTTCCAGGGAATGAGGAAAATCAGACCTGCTGGGACAAAGCTTACCAGTGGTGGCAAAGATCAGATGAGGACAGCTAAGCACTGAACCTTGTGCCTCTGATGCCACAGCAAAGGTCTACCTAGAGCATGAGAATGTCCCCCAAAGCAGGTTCTGTCTGCCTCTGGACTTTGCAAGCCTGGCCAAGCAGTTCTGGTGGCTGCAGCCACCGTGGACTGGAGGCCACAGCCTTTTCCCACTACCCAGACTTTATAAACCCTGAGCTTCTCACAAACTCCCACGGAGGGGGAAGCACTCCAAAAGAATGACGCTAGAATTCATCGTAACCTTGGAAAATGAGAGGTTGAAGCTGGTTTTCATTTGATTAAATGAAAGAAAGAAATGGGATATTTCCTGTGTCTCAAGTGACTTAGCATTGTTCATATATGATATGCAGGTCTAACATCCTTGATGACTGAACAGTCACTTAGATAAATGGCATCCATTATTATGATCCTCCTCTGCATTCAGCAATGTGGGATATTACTAATTAGGTATTATTAATTTTTTATTTATTTAAAATAAATTTTAACTTTTAGGTTCAGGAGTTACATACACAGGTTTGTTACCTGGGTATACTAATTGATACTGAGGTTTGTAGTATGGATGATCACATCACCTAGGTACTGTGAGGAGTACCAACAAAAAACTGTTAATTTTTGTTTTTGTTGCGATTGCTTTTGAGGGCTTAGTCATAAATTATTTCCCAAGGTCGATGTCTAGAATAGTGTTTCCTAGGATTCATATAGTTTGAGGTCTTACATTTAAAACTTTAATCTATCTTGAGTTAATTTTTGTATATGGGGAAGGGTAGTGGTTCAGTTTCATTCTGCATATGGCTAGCCAGTTATTCCAGTACCATTTATTGAATAGAGAGTCCTTTCCCCATTGCTTATTTTTGCCAACTCTGTTAAAGATCACATGGCTGTAGGTATGTACCTTTATTTCTGGGTTCTCTATTCTGTTCCATTGTTTATATGCCTATTTTTATGCTCGTACCATGCTGTTTTGTTTACTGTGGCCTTGTAGTATAGTTTGAAGTTAGGTAATGTGATGCCTCCAGCTTCGTTCTTTTTACTTAGGATTGCTTTGGCTATTTGGGCCCTTTTTTGGTTCCATATGAATTTTAGAATAGTTTTTTTCTAGTTCTGTGAAAAATGACATTGGTGGTTTGATAGAAATAGCATTGAATCTGTAGATTGCTTTAGGCAGTATGGACACATTAACGATATTGATTCTTCCAATTCATGAGCATTGGAATGGTTTTCCATTTGTTCATGTCTTCTATAATTTCTTTTTAGCAGTGTTTTGCAGCTCTTGTTTTAAAGATCTTTCACCTCCTTGAATACCTAACATTTAAACAGCACTTGAAAAGTGTACACACAGAGAGTCTTCCACAAATGTGGCAAGGTGATGCTATTTGCTTACAAAACCAAGTTCATTTTTGTCACCTAGAGACAGCAAGACTACATTTCCCAAACTCCCCTGCAGTTAGAGAAAAGCCATGTGACTACATTCTGGCCAATGGAATGTGGTGGAAGTGATGTAAGTCACTTGCAGGCCTGTGTTCCCTGCACTGTCCTCCATACTCCTCTTCCCATTCCACAGTGACCTTGAGGGACACATGTTGAAGGTGATGGTGCCACAAGAGGGAATAAGTCTCAGTGCCTGCTTTAAGCCTACCATGGACTGTGGGGAGAGGGAGAATAAGCATGTGTTGTATTAATCCTCTGACATTTGGGCCCATTTGTTAAAGCAGCTACTATTCTCTGACTGACTCATGGATATGTAAAGTGTTTTCCAATGTCTTATCTCACTTGATTCTGACAAGCACCCTGTGAGTTTGGCAGGACAAATACTGTTCTCCCTGTTTGATAGATTCCAGGCCTAGAGCCCTTACCTTTGTCACACATTGCCTCTCCAACCATAGAAAGTCACACCTAGAGGGCCCCCAGCACACAGATGCACCTCTTCCAACCTACACCTGATTCTCCTTACCCCTATCCTGTATAAAGGCTCAGATTGTTTGGAAAACCTTTGCAATCTTACCCCTGTTTGCAGGCATGGCAAAATAACAATAGCCTTGGTGCCCCTGGAATATTGCTCTTCTGTATACCCCAAAATAAGTACTTTACTTCTCAGGTACCTCTATTCTTAACTGTAGGATGGGAGAACTCCAAGAGCTGTGGGAAGGTGGGGGATGTTAAAAACAATCATAAGCCCAGAACTTTGGGAGCCAAGGTGGGTGTATCACGAGGTCAGGAGTTCGAGACCAGCCTGGCCAACATTGTGAAAACCCGCCTCTACTAAAAATACAAAAAATTAGCCGGGCCTGGTGGTTAGTGCCTGTAATCCAAGCTATTCGGGATGCTGATGCAGGAGAATCACTTGAACCCAGGAGGTGGAGGTTGCAGTAAGCCGAGATTGTGCCATTGCACTCCAGCCTGGGCAACAAGAGTGAAAACTCTGTCTCAAAAAACAAAACAAAACAAAACAAAACAAAACAAAAAAACCCATAATGTGGGAAGACATCTGGTCATGATGGGAGAACTCCCCTTCTGAGTTGCCAGGGCAATCATCCTCATTTGGGGATGTTTCCTTTTACTCATTGGATTTGGGAGTCATCTGCCATACCTTTGGAGGGGGAAGTCAGTGGTTTCACCTGCCCAGTGTCCCTCCCAGCTCATTGCAGTCTTGGTGGGACTGTGGCCCAGGTGCCCTACTTAGCTTTAGCCTTGGTGTGGGCACAGGACCAAGTTGCCCATGGACTGACATTCTCTTGTCTCTGTTTCTCTCAGAAAGCCTTGTGCAGAGAATGCCCAGGAGGGAAGGACACCTGGTGTGCCCTCCAAGGACATTGTCTATCTTTCTCTGTCCTGGTGGCAAGGCTACCGTCCTCTGCCCTTTCTGGTGTCTGGTGCTTCAGCTTTTCCTTTGATGCTTGGCCACATTAAAAAAAATTAAAATGGCCACATCAGTTTTTATTGCTTATATACAAATAAACTTTTATTGGTGCCTATATACAATACACCACTTTTCCTAAAAGACAGCATGGCATGTATTACTGTTATAAAATGAGTGCAAAGTAAGTTCGTTTTGAAATACCCTCATGTGTCAATTAACTATGAGGATATGTCCTGAGAAATATGTCTTGCGGCAATTTCATCATTGTATGACCATCATAGAGCGCACTTACAGAAACCTAGATAGCATAGCCTACTACACACCTAGGCTACAGACCAACCCAGCATGTTACTGTACTAAGTACTGTAGGCAATTGTAACACAGTGGTACTTATGTGTCTAAATGTATCTAAACATAGAAAAGCTACAGTAAAAATATGGTACTCTCCTATGGGACTGCTGCTGTTTGTAAGGTTTGTTGTTGACCAAAACATTGGCATTATGCAGTGCCTGACTGTATTTCGATTTTCACAGTGCTTCTCCATCCCAAGCCTCTCACCCCAAACCCCAGCTGGTTAAAGATGACCCAGAATATTGTTAACACCAAGATTCACTGGGGTTGCCTGACTCTGTGGAGCTGCTTCTGATTGGATGAGGCTCTCTGAGGATGGATGGATGGATGGATGTCAAAATAATTTATGTCACAGGAATATTAACAACTGAGATGCTGACCCTGACTAAAGGTTGCCCTTCCCCTCCCCAGGGCAGGGATCTTTATGGGAATTGGTGTCTCTGCTTGGTGGCCTAAGATGTGATCTTTGGCTTTCCCAGTGACTATTAGATGATGCACATCTTGGTGGGGGCTGGTCATCTTTTCCTGTTGTCCCAAGTTGACATAGGGTGAAGAGTCCAGGCTTTGGAATCAGACAGACTAGGCTCCGGTTCTGGCCTTGCCACTTACTAGCTGTGTGGCTTTGAGCAAATTATATAACCTCTCTGAGCCTCAGTTTCCCTTTCAGAAAAACGAGGATAATCATAGTGTTAGCCCTACCTCACAGAATCCTTCTGGCATTTGTGTGAGGCAATCTGTCATGAAATCATTAAGCCCAGACATGGGAGCTAGATTGCTGGGTTTCACTCCTGATTTGACCACTCAGTAGCTATGTGACTAGGGGAAAAGTACCTGCCCTTGGCATGCCTCAGAAGGGAAACCACTTCTGTAACATGAGAGTAATAATACCTGTCTTAGGAGATTAACACTCAATGAGTTAATATTTGTCAAGAGCTTTTATCCCTCCTCAGTCCATTGCAAGTGCTATATAGGCTTTTGTTAAATAGTCACAAGTATTTGACAATAAATCTTGGCTATTCTTATCATCATTCCCATTGTCAAGCTCAGTGTCCAGCAAGCAGCTGGGGCCTCATACAAGTGTTAGATGTCCAACTCTCAAGATGATCTCACATTTAGACAGGATCCCTGAATTGGGGTCTTGCAGCCTGTCTACGTGCAGGGTATCCTGCCAGCCCTGGAGGCGTCCTCACTGATGAGAAGAGCCTTCCCCACTCGGTAGCAGGCTCACTAGACCCCTTTCCTCCAACATACTGACCTGAACTTTCCATGGGAGCCTGTCGGGTGTGGGAAGAGGATGTGGTTGTCTCAGGCAGCAGAATGGAAAACAAATTGCTTGTTTTTCTGCACAGAGGTGGTTCTGCAAAATAAGAGGCAGTTAATTAGTGAAAGCAGTGGGAAGGTGTAGAAAGCAGTGGAGAAGCTCCTAGGGGGCCTAGGCTTCTATCACACTGGGGAGAAGTCTACATGTATTTAAGAAAACTTGTAGCCAGGTGCAATGGCTCATGCCTGTAATCCCAGCAGTTTGGGAGGCCAAGGAGGGTGGATCATTGAAGTTGGGAGTTTGGGACCAGCCTGGCCAACATGGTGAAACCCCGTCTCAACTGAAAATACAAAAAATTAGCTGGGTACAGTGGTGGGTGCCTGTAATCCCAGTTACTTGGGAGGCTGAGGCAGGAGAATCGCCTGAACCTGAGATGCAGAGGTTGCACTGAGCTGAGATCACACCATTGCACTCCAGCCTGGGCAACAGAGCAAGACTCCATCAGAAAAAGAAAGAAAGAAAGAGAGAGAGAGAGAGAGAGAGAGAGAGAGAGAGAGAGAGAGAGAGAGAAGGAAGAAAGGAAGGAAGGAAGGAGGGAGAGAGGGAGGGAGAGAGGGAGGGAGGGAAGGAAGGAAGGAAGGAGGGAAGGAAGGAAGGAAGGAAGGAAACTTATATAATGCTTACTATGTGCCAGGCATCACTTTTCTAAGTGCTTAGGAAATACCAACTTTTTAATGTTAATATTAAGCTTATGAGGCAGGTTCTATCTCTCACCCCTCCCCAGTTCTACAGATGGGGATACTGAAACACAGAGAGGTTAAATAACTATTCAAAGTCGATTAGCTGGTGAGTAAGGAATGAGGACTTGAACTCAGACCCTCTGGCTCTACAGCGCTGCCCTTAAGCATGACCTCTGGCTGCCCCACTGTGACCCCAGTGGAAGGTCCTCCCAGAGTCTGCTCCCCAGAGCAATAAACCCAATGACTAGAAAGCAGAGAAACTCCAAACAAATCCCAGAGCTTGTTTTTCGGAGAGAAAGCAAATAAACAAACAAACATATAATTGGGAAAGCTAATCTAAAAAGATGACAAAGAGACAATATTAGAAATGATAAATGTCATATATATTTATTTACAAAAGAAAAGAAAACCTGAGTCTCCTGTGTACCACATGGTTTTCTAGGAAAATTAAAATGACTCAAAAGGCTCTAGAAGAGTTAGAAAAACTGCTTATATTAGTAACCAGTGAGGAAATAAAGACGGTTGTCAAAGAACTAGCTCTGAGATAGTGATGTCTGGCTCAGATGGTTCTTCTTATAAGTTTTTTCAAACCTACAAAGAAAATGTCTCTGTTATTTAATCTGCTCAAAAACATGGAGAAAGAAGGAAAGATTCTCCATTTATTGGACAAAGCCAGCTTAACCTTAATACCAAAATCTAATAAAGGTAGTTAAAAAAAATAGATCACACACTTCACACCCACTGGAATGAACATTTTATATATATCAGGGGAAAATAAAGCCAGAAAACAACAAGCACGGGCAAGGATGTGGAGAAATTGGATTTGCTTGTTGTTCTCCTGCTTTCTAGTCATTGGGTTTCTTGCTCTGGGGTGCAGACTCTGGTAGGATGTGGTGCCTTGCTGGGTGGGAATTCAAAATGGTGTAGCTGCTATGGAAAATGGTATGGCATGTTCCTCAAAAAGTCAAGCAAAGAATTATCACATGATCTAGCAATTTCACTTCTAGGTAACTACCCACAAGAGTTGAAAACAGGAACTCAAACAGACACTTGCATGCCAGTATTAATAGAAGCACTATTCAAAACAGCAAAATGGTAGAAGCAACTCAAATGTCCATCAACAGAGAAGCAATGAATGGATTAAAAAAATATGTCGTATATGTAGAGTGGAAAGTTATTCAGCCTTAAAAAGGAATACATTTAGATATGTGCTACATCCTGGATGAGCCTTGAAAACATTATGTTACATGAAATAAGTTAGCCATAAAAGGACAAATATTGTGTGATTCCACTTATGTGAGATACTTAGAATATAGAATAGGCAAGTTCACAGAGACAGAGACAGCAAGTATGACAGAGGTTATCAGGGACTGGGGAAGGGATGAAAGGATAATTATTGTTTAATGGGTACAGAGTCTCTGGAATGATAGGAAAGTTCTGGAAATGGATAGCGGTAATGGTTATACAGCATTGTGAATGTACTTATGCCACTGAATTATATACTTAAAAATGGTTAAGATGTTATATTATCTATATTTTACCAAAATAGACCATGATCACCTACAAATATTGATATAACATTGAAAAATAGATATCAACTGGCTGGGCATGTTGGCTCATACCTGTAATCCCAGCATTTTGGGAGGCTGAGGTGGGTGGATTACGAGGTCAGGAATTCAAGACCAGCCTGGCCAACATGGTGAAACCCCATCTCTACTAAAAATACAAAAATTAGCCGCCTATAATCCCAGCTACCTGGGAGGCTGAGGCAGGAGAATCGCTTGAACCTGGGAGGCAGAGGTTGCAGTGAGTTGAGATCACGCCACTGCACTCCAGCCTGGACGACAAAGTGAGACTCCATCTCAAAAATAAAAAATAAAAAAAAATGGATATCAATTGAATTCAGCAATGCATTGTAATTATAACGTACTACAATTTCAGCCTACTGACAATCATAGAAATAAATATTAAAATGAGAGTGGCAAAGAGTATGCCAAAAGATAATGACATTCATTATTGGCAAGGATAGGATATGAGAAAATTTCCAGTCATGCATAGTTGGTGAGAAGGGAAATTAGCCTAGCTTTTCTCGGGGATCACTGGACAATAAGTATCAAAATTCAAAATGTTCATACTTTTTTTGTCCAAGCAATTCCACTTGTAGAAACCTATCCGAAGGAAATATTGGACAACTGGATAAAAGATATGTACAATAATATGCATTAAAACATTGTTAACAATTGAGAAGGCCAGGTGCGGTGGCTGACACCTGTAATCCCAGCACTTTTGGAGGATGAGGCAGGTGGATCACCTGGGGTCAGGAGTTCAAGACCAGCCTGACCAATATGGTAAAACCCTGTCTCTACTAAAAATACAAAAATTAGCTAGGCGTGGTGGTGGGTGCCTATAATCCCAGCCACTCTGGCTGGTTGAGGCAGGAGAATTGCTTGGAGGTGGAAGTTGCAGTGAGCCAAGATTGTGTCACTGCGCTCCAGCCTGGATGACAGATCGAGACTCTGTCTCAAAAAACAAACAAACAAACAAAAACCAGAAAAACCAGAAAAAACATAAAGGTACAATTATAGAGTACCAAGTAAATAAATTAATTTGTTCAGTAAAATACTATGCAGTTATAAAGTTGTGTACATCTATATTTGCTGAATTCAGAAGCTACAATACCATTTACAATAGCTCCAAATATTTTCTTAAAAATAAACACTTAAAGATAAGGTTAGCAAAACGTGCAGGATCTGTATGATGAAAACTACAAAATGCTGATTAGGTAAATCAGAGAAGATCTAAATAAATGGAGAGAAACTGTGTTCATTGTTTGGAAGACCCAGTGTAGTTGAAATGTCAATTCTCCCCAAAGTGATTTATATATTTAAGGTAATTCCAATAAAAATACCAGCAGGATTTTTTTTTTGTAGGTACATATAAGTCAATTCTAAAGTTCGTAGGGAAAGGCAGAGGAATTGAAATAGCCAATGCAAAATGGCACAGCCATTCCAGAAAACAGTTTATCAATTTCTCATAAAGTTACGCATCACTTACACTATGATCCTGTAATCCCACGCCTAGCTATTTTCTCCAGAGGAATAAAAACTTACGTTCACACAAACACCTGCTCATGGATATGTATAGCAGCTCTATTCAAAATTGCCCCAAACTGGAAACAACCCAAATGCCTTCAGTGGTTGCGTGGTTGAGCAAACTGTGATACACTCACACAGCGGAATACTCCGCATTTAAAAGAGAACTATGTGCAGCAACATGTGTGAATCTCAGAGACTTTATGCTGAGTAAAGGCAACCAGGCTCTAAAGCCTGTGTGCTGTATGCTTCCATTTATATGGCATTCTAGAAAAGAAAAAAATTACAGGGTCAGAAAATAGGTCAGTGTTATGAGAGGGCAGGGTAGGGAGAGGGGTTGACTACAGAGGAACTTTTTGAGGTGATGAAACAGCTCTGGGTCCTGATCGTGGTGATGGTCACATAAATCTACACATGTGTTAAAACTCAGAACTATAAAGCAAAATAGAGTCCATTTTCTGTATGTAAATTATATCATCATTATTATTTTAAGATGGAGTTTTTGCTATGTTGCTCAGGCTTGAGTGCAATGCAATGATCTCTGCTCACTGCAACCTCTGCCTCCTGGGTTCAAGCAATTCTCCTGCCTCAGCCTTCCGAGTAGCTAGGATTACAGGTGCCCCCCCACCACACCCAGCTAATTTTTGTATTTTTAGTAGAGATGGGGTTTCACCATGTTGCCCAGGCTGGTCTCGAACTCCTGACCTCAGGTAATCCACCTGCCTCAGCCTCCCAAAATGCTGGGATTACAGGCGTGAGCCACCACTCCTCATCTTCCTATATGTAATTAAAACATAAAAAAAGTAAAGTGTTCAAGGAACAGCCCACACCTTAATTTGTAACTGGCACTACTACCTGCTTATATACTTTCATAGGTTGTACTAATTCTAGAATTTACTCCCTTAAAAAAGGCAGGAGGGCAATGGCTTTCCAAAATTGAAAGACTGCTTTAGAATGTTCTATGGTGTCCTCAGCTTTATTAAACCAGATCATTTACACCCAAGACAACAGCTGCCTCTGGAAAGACACCTGAGGCACAGGAGTGGGAAGGTGACTGGCTTCCACTCTTGTTTCACCATTTGATTTTTTTTCCCTGTGTGTGTTTTATATATTCTAAAAGCCTCTAATCCAATAACCAACTTATTAGAAATCCAGAATGTGTTGAGGTGCATGAGCAGGATGCCATCTTCAAGATGCAGATTCTGAGATGTTCAAGAGTGAAGTCGAGGCTGGGCACGGCAGCTCACTCCTGTTATCC